GATCAGTAACATAAGTATTTCAGGAGCAGTGAGCTTAACTATTATAATAGTTAAGACATCAAGCACTTTTGAAGTATAAAGCACAGTTAGAGGGCTGTTATTTCTTACCAACCATAGTTGTTTTAGTAGTTGAATCCCTGTAGAATATTAACAGACAGCAGTTATATATTATAGAGAAGCTTAAGATCATGAGCCACACATAGTATTTTAGTATGACAATCATGATGACATTGTCTTTGTAACACTTACATGTCTATCTTAGTACGGAATAGTCTTTCAGTCAGACACGTTCATCTGATCACAAGACATTAAATGACATAAAGAAAACTCTTATTTGTTATCCTTTAGTAGGATGCCATCTAAAGAGAACATACATATTGGCCTATAAATGTATCTTAGGAGTTCATAATGTCTAGTCTCTAATTTTAGTGTGACATTGTTTCAACTTTTTAGTGACTGAGCATCCCTAAGTGTGGTGACACATATAACATACATCACATAAGTTTTTAAGATAAATATTATTTGACTGGTTTTCTCATGCTGGCTTGACATGTACTTCTTATCACAAGTAGCCAGAGTGTAAAAAAGGGCAGATACCTGCGTCAAAAAAGATCATTACCATAAACAATATCTTAGAAGACCTGTACACCCAGAAGGCATGAATGATATTTAGTACACCATGAAATAACAGTGAATATCAGTTACGTGAAACCCCTTGTCATTTAATTTTGTTTTGTACCAAGAACATTTTAAATAAAACCTTATTGTTTTTTCACAGAAAATTTAGCCCATGACCAGTGTATAACTATCACAATGATATGTTTAGGAATGTATTTCCCACAAGGCTATGGAAATTATTGGGGTCCCCTTTGTGAACAAAGGCTGGAATAAATTTTTTTCCACACAGCTGCTTCTTTATTTACCAAGGGGAGTCCTCTCCTGTAGTTTTCCTAAGCCCAAGAGCCTTCAATTATCTTAAATTTTTAGATGACCTGAGAGCCAGATCATAACAATTAACACATTATTTTGACCAATGAAAGATTCCTAAGTTATACATAGACAACAATATGTACTGTATGTGTAAAACCAGTTGACATTGTTTGGATCATCTGGCAACCTGGAGGAACCATGTCTTTAATTACATTTATCTATAAGCCACTTGAGTTACAGGCAAACATCTTTAAAAATCCAAAATGCCAAAAGAAAAAAGCTCAAACATAACAGTTGTACATGTTGTAACAAATTGAACAGACACATAAGACCACTTGTTTATAAACCAGAGTGCACTCAGATGTATTTGGCCAAGTTGAATTATAATAACTTGTATAATTTTTAGGTTTATAACTATAAATAAGACTAGTCATAAATTTGTAGATCAATTAACAGATCTCTTGTAATAAGAATCAAAAGGAATAAAGTTTTCTACACCTGTGAAAGCAAAAATGGGCCCTAAGCTGATGGTTTATCTGACTGGAATACCCAGCTATACAGACTTCTCATTGTTGCTTTTGATAACCATAGTTGTTCGATAGTCACATGTAATTGTTCCCTCTAAAGGGCCAGGTTTGCATGTAGAAGAGACTAGGTGACACTCTGGAGCTAAGTATAAATTTCAAACAGTGAAGGAAGAAGGCCTGCCAAAACTCCAACCTGCTGTGCTACAGATGTCTACTTATGACAGTTTTTCCCATTTTGAAAAGAAACAAAAGGAAAGAAGTTATCTGTGTCTATCTCTTTTTTTCTGTGCCCAGTCTAAGGTGCCCCTTAGACTTTATCTCATCCAGTGCCAGTGGCAGCTGACTAGAGGTGCAAGGAAGTGGCCAGAGCCAGGTTAGCTGTTCTTACCATTCTCTAATTTTGCCTGAGGGCTGAAAGACAGATCAGTCTGAACTAAAACTTTTACATTTATCTTTGAGAGTTTCAGGATTAAACCTAGAGCAGTTATATAGCCCAGTGATAAATGAAGGTCAGCTTTACTCTGGAAGGATTCCAAGGAGGGGAAACTCACCATTCTGGAAGCTTTGTCTTGAAATCCAGCAGCCACAGAGGAGGGAAGTGCCTTGAATCAAACTGCGTTATCTCTCAGGAGCAGGGCAGTGGAGAAGGAACAGAAGAATATGGCACAAGAACTAAATCTTAACCATCTCAGGTGTAGAAGGACAATTAAGATCCAGGAGCTTTTCCAGGGTAGATCTGTGATCCTTAACAAAACATGTCTCCAGAGACAAAAGCTATGATTGACTCTCACTGTGTTGCCAAGCAGAAAAATCAAACCAATAAACAACCCAAATGGCTGCTTTTTGCCTCTTGAAAGAGAATAAAACTGTTCTAACTATATTGTTTAGGGCTTTTCTTTTTAAAGAAATTATTTTGAATCTATAATATCTATTTTATGACTTAAATACCCTACAGGCTGTTGAGCAGCTCCCTGATGTTGTAGAAACACTCCCAAAGCCATGTCTCATCTTTTATTAACATACAAACTGAAATGATGTCCTGTAGCCAGGCACTTCGAAGTACTCACTAGCAGAGAGAAAAAGCCCAAATAAAGCTCAAGGTGGGTAAACATCCCCCAAAATTACCATACAGCATTTTATAAGTCCATAGTCAGTGTTCCAAAGTCCATAACCTTTCAGAAAAGGCATTTTTCTCCCCTACACACATAAATGATGAAGACCATGCCTAGGTGGGAGAAAAGGTTCAGGAAATTTTACTCTATCAAAGATTTGTTTTGTACATTTGTCTGGAGGTCTTACTAGTAGTAGAGAAAGCAGTCCAGACCTGTAGCTCAACTCTTCATGGAGGCTTACAGAAGGGCTCTGGTGGCATTGTTTCAGATCAGTCTGAGACAGAGAATATCTGATGATCACTGACATAGAGTTCCCCTTTCACCTCACTGAGGAGTCCAGATAGGGACAAGATGTGGAGATTTTCTGTGATTACCCAGATGGGCTGTTGGGAGCTAGTTTCTTCTGAGGGACCTTTGGGTATCCACCAGAGAGTAGCCCTGGCCATGACCCCTCAGTTGTCACCTCAGTTTCTTCTAGTTCCACGCAATCAGAGATCTGTCTCCAAAAGGAACCCAATTGTCTATCTGGGCAATGTTCTGCCCACCATTGGTGTCAGTGGGAGTGACTGGAGAAACCTGTCCTCTGCTTTGAGAGTGGCAGCTGCCCTAAAGGCAGTTACTAGCTGGCAGAGTAACCACTGTTTGGCATTCTATAAGGGACAGATAAAAGCCTGAACTGTCTTTATCTGAGCCAATTTTATAAGAGACCCATTTTACAACCTTTTTAAGCAACTAAGTCCAAATGCAGCACTTAGAAAACAAGAATAAAATGTAATTTTAACAAAAGACAATGCATAAGAAAAACAAGAAATTTGCAAACATTTAAAACATACAACTTAAAATTAAGACACTTTTGAAACAAAAGCCAAAACAAAGGCCAGAATTTATGAAGCAAAAACCAGAATCTATGAAACAAATGTCAAGAGCCTATGAAACAAAAGTTACAATCGATAAAGCAAAAAGACCAAAGTTAGAACATACGGAACAAAAGCAGACTCTTGCCTCCGACCAGTAATCTCGGTGGAAGACCTCCAAAAGGATATAGGGGAAGAGATGTAACTCCCAAACCTACTAGATACCCAAAACGCGAGTTCGTGTTCTCTAAAATCAAAGAATGAATTCTAGGAAGAACGGAGGTTAAGAGTAGGAAAAGTTTATTGGGAGAAAGAAAGCTTCTGCTAAGAGAGACAGAAGGGGGACCAGAAAGTGGGTTGCCCTGGACAGCAAAAATTCTTGGTAGATTTTCAGCTAAGAGTTAAAGAAAAAAGTATTGGACAGTTGAAAGTTCTTAGTGTTGAAATTAGAATGTGATTTACTAAGCATCTTTTTAACCCTTAAAGGCAATTATGCTACTGGTTGTTGGTTCTGATTTGACTCTGTAGAGGATCAGTTGGAAATGATGTAAAGTGAAATAGGAACATTTCTAAACAGAGGAAACAAATATTAATATTGGTTAACTAAATGACAGGTAATCTTTAGAAATTAGTTTCCAGCCTATATCATATAGAGATTAACCTTCGTATTGATGGGTATTTTATTTTTTACTGAAAATTTGGACAGTTCTATAACATTTCAGCGATGTGCCTTGATTTTAACTATCTGACAGAACTTTAACTGTGGAAGTAGTGGTAAAAGTGCCCTTGCTCCAGGGCCATGGACTTGTTCCTTTTGCATCTGCTCTATATCTCAAGGAGTCATAGAAAGGGGCTAGCAATTAGGCTGTTAGAAATGGAAGGTATTGAAGAAGCGAAACCATAACTTGACTAGGATAATGAGAAGAGTATTCATGCAGCATGTAGATTCTTGAGCTTTCTTAGAATTCCAAGATTCTGTTAAGAAATTTAGGATCATAAATTCAAATGTATATCCTGCAAAATAAAAACTTCATTGTCTTTTTAGTGTTTTCATCTTCTGTCTTTTATGTCAGTATAATTTCCGTCACTGTTGCTGTCTCTGCTAACCTACAACAATCCAGTTACTCCATGAATTTAATGAAGGACATTTGTTAAGGCAATCTGTTTAATTCTCAAACAGCTATAGCTAAAATTGTAAATTTAACCTAATGGTTTTAACTCTTTTACTGGGGTTTCAGAATAAATCTAATGTCTCTTCTATATGAACCATTCAGAGAGGGTAATATGGTTCCCTAAATCTCTTCAAGAGAGGATGAACCGTATTTCATTTTGGAAAGATTTTCATGGAATATTATCAAATTTTTTCTCTTTCTCAGTCTTTGACACATAGTAGGCAAAAATATTTCAAGTGAAATATTTTATTGGGTAATGATACCAGTTAGTGAGGTTTATTTAAAATTACCCTGCCTATAAAGTGAAAGAAGCAAGATTGAATATTATTGGTGATAAAACTGAGTAACTGAAATTCATTTTACAATGTCCATTGTAAAAACTATAACTATAGTATATCTTTCTAGGTAATGATCAATAATGGCTTTACACCAGATAAAAATGATTATGAGTTTTGTGCCAAAGTAGAAAATATGATTATCCCCACACAAGGGCATTTTGGAATATCAGCTGCAACAGGAGGTCTTGCAGGTAAGTCATGCTATGATTTTAGATATTGGAAGTTTGTGAATTGAGTTTTATTGGTAATAGTATATTCTGGGGAAATGTAGACTTCTTCACGTTTAACCTTTAAAGACTATTTGGAATAGAAGTTCCATAGTTTGCTGTATCAGTCTCTTGTTCTGTTGGGACTGCTAAGTCTCTGCTTATACTGTTCTGTGCATATATAGTTGGCTGAGGCTACATACAAGTATGTAAACTATAGCCTTAGTTTGGATGCTGTTTCATAGGAGAGACATACTTAAATTTGAGGCTATAAAAGGCTCATTATCAATTAGGACCCTGAGAGTTGTCATATCACATGTAAATGAATTTTGCAACCTGAGGAAGTATTGAGGGTTGAATTTTAAACAAATACAGAGTTACTGTTTTTTCCACATATAGTGATAAATGAAATTATTCCACATTAATATGATTTTGTGTTTATATGGTACATTGTAGTTTTAAATACCTTTAAAATATATGTTCTCTACAACCTAGGAAGTGAGGGAAGAGAGATCATATTTCTCTATTTTTAGATGAGTTTGCCAAATCTTAGATGAAAAGAGTTTTCAGTGTCGCATGGCCAGTAATGTTCATCCCCAGGAAGGTTTTTTTCTAGATTTCTGATTCCTGCTCTTTTATACCATATGATTTCTCCTTAAGTTACCCCTTCTACCCTACAGTATTAGTTTTCTGTTCAATCTGTTTATATCTCTCGGTCTCTGTAAGAGTGACAGAAAGTGAAGGATTGCTGCACACTTCAAATTAATTGCTCCTTGCCCTAAAATAGCCAGGACTGGTATATTAGTTCAGTGTTATGAGGATTGACCCGCTTAAAGGGGTTGAAATTAATTTGGTAGTTTTATGATTTTTAGGTAAAATAAAACTATGCATGTCTTCTAGGTGAGAAAGATGCATAGGAAAGGCAGAAAGTAGGGGTGTACCACCATGAGAAAGTTTCAGAGTAAGATAGGTACAGGAAATACATGAACAGGATTTTGTCTTATTTGATGGGATATTATCCATCAGTGAGACGTGGGGGAAATATGGGAGGATCTTGGTGCCAGGATTGGCCATTTGGACTCATTTTGACCTTTTGTTTGTTTTTTCTTCATCAAACATTTATTAAACATCTGTTACTTGTTAAACACTGCTAAATGTTGTGAGTTAGAATTTAAGAAAATAGTTTTTATCTCGTAAGTTCACAAAGTACACTGTTCATTTAATAAATTAATTTTTATTATAGTTTTAGAGCAGTAAATATAAACTTATAGCTATAAAAATAATCTATTATGGAACCTTTTCAGACTTCTTTTTCAATTTGTAGATGACCATGATGTTCTTTCTTTTCTGACTTTCCAATTGACTGAGCCTGGAAAAGAGCCAGTAAGTATGCACTTTTTTTTTCCTAAAAAGTTTATTTTCAGTGGTGTTGCCTTGTGAGTGAAAACTTAGGGAGACTGATCTAGGTTTGGATCTTATTTTTGCTTGTTACTATTTTATGATCTTGTACAAATTACTGAACCTCGAGTGTGCCATTTCTTCACTGATGAAACCGGTTTGTCCTAGATACCTCATGATACTGTGAGGACTGAACGAGACAATGCATTTATAGCAAATACTTCATAAATGATAATAGTTATTATTATTTTTGTTGTTATCCTTAGTAGCAAGAGTAAATTGGCTATGATTTATTCACTCATCACCCAGATCAGTAAGAAATAACTTTTTTATGTTAAACTTTCAGCTGGTAGTAAAGAACATGAGAAAAAAAATATATATTGAGCTATCTCGCTGATTCTGTTTTATGACCTATTATTCTTAAACTTCAAAAAAGCCTACACCAGATAAAGAAATTTCAGAAAAAGAAAAAGAAAAGTATCAGGAGGAATTTGAGCACTATCAACAAGAATTGGACAAAAAAAAGGAGGAATTCCAGAAGGACCATCCTGACTTCCAAGGGCAGCCTGGTGAGTTGCAGTGAAGCTGGCACTGGTACTACAGTAGCACTTGTACAGTGGATGCTGGTGTCTGTGTGTTATCTGTCTCATCTCTTTGTTTCTGAACTGGCACAGTCCAAGTAGTTTCTGGAAACAACTAACAAATCTTCAGTCCCTAAGGATCTGAAGCCCTTAAAAGTGAGAATGTGGCTTACTTATTGATGTGTGAGTAAAGAGTATTGTGGTTATATGAGTAAACAGTGAAGGTCATGGATTTTGTTTTCTGTGTACTCTAAACTTGAAAAAAGCTGAAACAGTGTTGCCCTAGTAGTTAAGGGTTAGTATTTGTTGAGTGAAATCATACAAGTTTATGTTTACTTTTAATGACACATTTATCTTAGTAACAGATAATACTTGAAAACAATCAAAACTATTGTGAGTAATATGAAGTTGTCTCTCTAACAGATTCCTATTGGAATCCTGGACTTCAACAGTTGAAAATGTAAAAGTACTAGTCTAAGCCAATGCAATTAAGATTTTAAGCATTATAATGTTAAAAAATACAGCATATTATGATCAAATAAAGTGACGTCATAGTATCTGCTGGTTTTTATTATTTGGGTTGTTCTCCATCAGCATAAATGATAAGGCTGTACTTAATATATCCTGTCACTAGCATTTGAACACTGTGGTATGGAGTTTTTGCAATGATAACAGTATGATTCAGAGTTAATGAAGGTAAAAATGAGACATAAATTTCTTTTCTTGAATTTTTTATAAACATCATGACATATGATTTATGAGTATATCCTGCAGTAAGTATATGAGATTATCCTGCAGTAAGTATATGAAGAGTATAGTTGGTGAATTTTATCAAATGTGGACAGCCACTTAACCATCACCCAGGGCAATGCATGAGGTATATTTTTCACCCAAAAAGTTCCTTGTGTCTCCTCTAAGTCAAAGCCCCTCACCACAGAACTCATCACTATTTTAATTTTTGTCACTCTAGATTAATTTTGCCTAGTCATACAGATAGAATCACACAGTATATATGAAAGAGAAAATTACTTTTAAGTGAAATTTTTCATTTAGAATTGTTCAAATACTTTTATATACATTAATTTGTAAGTGTTTATCCATTAAAGGTGGAAAAACCAGTAATGATTTAGTCATGATTGAATTAATTATCTGTTCATTTACTATTTGGGAGCTTGTACCACCATGTTAGTAATGTTTTAATTTTGGTATATGTTGGCACTTTGGTCATTTATGGTATTTCAAAAACCACATAGGTGTAGGTGATTCTGATAATTTTAATTTGTAATTACTTTTCAGCTGATGAAATATTTGAGAGTGTAGGAGATCGTGAGCTAAGACAAATATTCGAAGGACAGAATCGTATTCATCTTGAAATCAAGCAGCTGAACCGACAATTAGATATGATTCTTGATGAACAGAGAAGATATGTCTCTTCCTTGACTGAGGAGATCTCTAAAAGAGGAGCAGTGATCCCTGGACAGCACGGGCAGGTGAGCTTTCAAAATATGCAGATATGCCCTATTTAGCTTTTGGTGGAGGGAAGAAAAATGCTACTGTGCTCTGTGCTGTCATAGAGTGAAAATTATTAAGCTGGCTGGTTATCTTCCTTTCCTCTAGATCACTCAGCAGGAACTGGATACTGTTGTGAAAACTCAGCATGAGATTCTGAGACAAGTAAATGAAATGAAGTAAGTATGTAAAAGTGATGTATCAGTGTTATGTGACATCTTTATCCTAAAGAAATGTGTGCATGCACTCTAGGTTCATTTTATAAATAGGGCAATATAAGTACAGGAGCTTATATTTAGAAACTGCAAATATCTAAAATTTTTAATTATTTTAAGCTAGAAAAGAAAATGCTTTAGGATCTTGTAAAAAATGTCAGTTTGCCATAGTTACTTGACTGAGCCAGGTATATACTTATATTTAGAAAAGGAAGAATACTTATTATATTTATTATAGGAAAAATATGAAATAATATAAAATACTTCTGAGAAATAATAGGGAAATAAGTCTTGTAGGATAGTATAAACAGCCCTGATGCAGGAGATTCTTCTTGATGACTTGAAACCATTTTGAAGGAAATATTTTGATGACCTCTTTTTCATTCCCATCCTGTATCCTGACATTTGGATAAGACTTGGATCAGTGATTAGGCATTGTTTCCTTGGGATATTGAATTATAAATTTCTAATAGGAATGATTTGCTTCTACAGATAATTAACATTTCTCAATGCTTGGAGAACAGAAAACAAGCCAAAATGTCATGTTTTCTTGAGCTGTACTGTAGAGTACTGGCTCAACTGGTAATAATCCTACCTCATTCTTTTTAAGACTTGTAGCATACCACTCACTCTCGATGTTCTTTGGCCTCTGCTTCTATTAGTGTTCTTCACTTACTGTTCTTTCTTCTGTTATCCTTTAAAACGTAGTTTTCTTTAAGGTTCAGTTCAGCCCTCTTTTCATTTGATCTGTTTCCTAAACTAAGTGTGTCCCCTTCTACCAAAGCTCCACCTCCATAGGCCGAGTAAGAAGTTCAGTTTTTGTATATTTCAAAAGACATTTCTGTGTAAACAAATTCATGCTTCCTTGAGACAGTATTCCTTTTTTTTTTTTTGGTACCAGGGATCGAACTCGGGTCCTTGCGCTTGCGCATGAGACAGTATTCTTAAATGCAGACATGTAAGAAAGTTACTTTATCCAGGAGGTTTTAGTCTTGCTAAATATTTTAGGTACTGAATATTAAAATGTAATCTTTAATCCATGTTTTAGTAAAAAAGCCTAGATTCCCATGCATTTTCTTAAGCACATGTGCCATTGAAAGAAATTTTAATCAATACACGAGTTGATACAAAACGCACTTAAGATATTTATAGTTAGTTTTGAAGACTTCTTTGTTCATATAAGTCAAATATAATTTTTTAAAGCTTAATATTCAGGCCAGGGATTTAGCTCAATTGTTCCGTCACCTGCCTCGCAAGCGCAAGGTCCCAAGTTCGATCTCAGGAAACAAAACAAAACAAAAACTTAATATTCAGTCTGACCTAATTGTATTATTTCTAATTAGCTATAAGATTTGTGTCCCTTTTCCTGCCAGTGAAACCCTTTTTAAACTAAATTTTAGTCCAAGAAAGTCCGAGAAAGCTTTCTGTTTATTCATTCAAATTGAGGTATAATTATTGAAGACATTGGTAGGAAATCAGAGACATGAACATGGACCTTATGGTAATCCCTGTATGCAGGTTCAAAATAGTAAGGTGAAGGGGTAGTGATTGCCTTTGGCAGAAAAGGATCCAAGAAAGAAAATTGTAGAGGAAAGGGTAGCATTTGAGCTGAGCTTTACTCCAGACCACAGATATGGGGAAGGGAATATGATTAGAAAGAGCATCACAAAGCTAGAGGCTTCAAGGTGAAGGATATTTTCAGGAACTGGCGAGAGCTAAGAGAGATGAAAGAGAGTAGTGTATCAGAAAGGTAAACAGCAGGGCTGGGGATTTAGCTCAGTGGTACCACCGCCTGCCTTCCAAGCACAAGGTCCTGAGTTCTATCCCCAGTACCAAAAAAAAAAAAAAAAGAAAAGTGAACAGCAAACATATTATGGAGAGCCTTAAGGATTTTAAAAGACTTTTTATGGCTATTTTCAAACATACACAGAAGTAGAAGGAATAGTTCAGTGAATCTCTGCATACCCATCAGTCAGCTTCAGCAGCAATGCATGTTTTGCCAGTACAATCTTATTTTATCCCCTCACAAAAAGATAATTCATAGTATAAATGAATGATTTGCCATTAATAGAGTTTCTTCAATACTCCTAGGTAAAATAACTTGATATTTTCAGGTAAATTGGAATTCATATTCCTTTATTAATAAATAAACCTGTCATATTTCTGCCATTATTAAAGAAAATATCTAATTTTTTTATATTTGTAATCATGCTTAGACTCATATTTAAAGGTTGTATTCAGTAATAGAACTCTTTATTTTACATCTGAAGAATAGAATTACATCTTGCATGGAGACTATAGAGACTATATTCTAAAGTCAGTATATCAGATAAAATGCTGTATAAGATCAGAATTACCCTTCAAAAAGGTATCACACTGGAGGCTGTCCTTCATACCTCAAGATACCAAACAACCAGTTTTTCCTTCATAAGTATTTGGAACAGATAGATACTACTTTGATTGGCTTCCAGTTAAAATACTAGGTCTGTACACATAGGCCATTTGAGAGAACAAAAACAGGGAAAAACACACACAATTACACTTGTGTTTGCAGCCCTCAAGATGTCTTAGATTCTATGATTTGCCAGGAGTATGCACAGAACTCAGAGAAGTTTCTGTACTCATGGTTATGGTTTATTACAACAAAAAGATATAAAGTCAAATCAGCAAAGAAAATGGTACATAGGTGGAGTCAAGGAAAAAACAGGAGCAAGCTTCCAATTGTCTTCTCCCACTGTTTCACAGATAGTACAGATGATCTCCTCCTTAGCATGATTCAGCTTAACAATTTTTCAACTTTACTGTGGTATAAAAGCAATATACATTCAATAGAAGCCATACTTCCAGTTTTAAATTTTGCTGTCTTCCTGGGCTAACAATATGTGGTATGATGTCTTGCCATGCTGAGCACTGTCATCCAAACATAGATTCCAGTCACCCAGGCCATCAAAAGAGTAAACAACCAACACTCTATAGTGTACTGTGCTGCTAAGCTATAAGTCAAGAATCATCTGTACTTACTTCTCCCAGCAATATGTTACAGCATATGCAAAGTGCTACCAACCAGGGAAACTCACCCCAGCCTTAGTGTCTAGGATTTTTGTCAGTCATCAGTCACATAGGTCCAGAGCACCCATGTGAATGACCTTAAGTACTCAGTCCACAATCCCAAGAAATCAATCTCCCAAAGGCCCTAGGCAAACAGAAACAGAAATACTAATAAATCACCATGTTTGCATAAACTAGTCAAGGGCCAGTCCTGAAAACCTTTGGAATGCACAGGGTTTAGACAGCTCAGGTCTGCTGAGTTAATCTTTTACTCTACAATATTGAACACCTGGGAAGATTTCTGATCACTCCATTGAAAGTGTCATCCATTATGTTATTCGATATCTGTTTACATTGTTGGTTTTAATACAGTATTTAGTAGTAACTTACAATATTTAGTAGTATTCTCTATGTGGTTATTTTTAGGTGAACTTTAGTAAAAAAAAATAGAAGTATAATGTTAATGTACTTTTACAAATTATTTTTCAATTTTGAGGAAAATTTAATTTTTAAGTAGTTCTTTACTTTTTTAGTGATCTAATAATGTTGGATTTAAAACAGTTTAACTATTTGAAATATGTGGCTGAAAAAGATCATTTTTATAGTGATATTATATAAAGGGATTTTCTGTTTCAGGAATTCCATGGGTGAAACTGTCAGACTGGTCAGTGGGATACAGCATCCGGGCTCTGTAGGAGGCGTGTATGAAACAACACAGCACTTCATGGACATCAAGGAGCACCTGCACATAGTAAAGAGGGACATAGATAACTTAGTGCAGCGAAATATGGTAACTTTATTTCCTTCTCCTTTTATAATTAGCTCTTTAAAAAGGAAGAACCCACATTCAAATTTACTGTATAGTACTGAAAATAATTTTAACATTTTAGTTAGTGCTGACGCTCATTTTTAATGTTCAAGGTAAATAGAATTGTTCCAGATGTCTGTATATTTTGGTGTCCTAGTTGTTCGAGGAGAAATAGCAGTTCCCATAGCAGTTAAACCTTAAGGAGCAAAGAGGCATGGTATAGGAGTTTTGTATGGAAGATTTATAGAATCATTCAATGAAAATATTTTTTGATTCCTGTTTTAATAGCCTCTCTGATCCATGTTTTCCTTTATTTTTTCCTTTTTGGTTTTTTGAGACACGGTCTCACTATGTAGCCCAGTTTGGCCTCAAACTCACAGCAGTCCTTCTTCCTCAGCCTCCAGAGTGCTGGGATTCCAGGTGTGGGCTACCATGCCAGGCTGATCCATGTTTTCTAAGTGTATTTCTTTTTTATATTTTTTCCCCAAGGTTCTAATCTCATACTTTCTTGCTATTTTGTTAGTTTTGTTTGCCATCAGTCAAGTTTTGTATGTTTGGTTTGGTTTGGATTGGATTAGATTGGATTTTTTTTTTTTTTTGCTCTGCTAATTGTGTTGTGCAAGATATATTTGGCAGTTTCTCTCTCACTCTCTCTCTCTCTCTCTATATATATATATGTATTTTTTTTTTGGTACGGGGATCAAACTTGGGACCTTGCACTTGCAAGGTGGGTGTTGGAACCACTGAGCTAAATCCCCAGCCCCAGTCTTTATGTTTTTTCTTTTTTGGTACTGGGGATCGAACTCGGGTCCTTGCGCTTGCGCAGCAGGAAGCAAAACCACTGAGCTAAATCCCCGGACCCCCCAGTCTTTATATTTTATATGAGGTTTTATGTTTTTAAAAGGCTTTTTTTAACCTTTCATGTTCTTTAAGGAATATGTTAAATTAATATTAATAATAAATTGACTGTCCTAAGGTCATTAGGTAGTAAGTGGTAGGAGGGAAAATTTAGCTCATCAACTTTTAATTTTGTTTTCTTAGTAATTTTGGACATTGCTGTTTATTTATTAATTGCAGTATTGGGGCTTGAATACAGGGGTGCTCTACACTGAGTTATACCTCCAGTCCTTTTTAGTTTTTATTTTATTAATTTCTTGTTGCATATTGATAGTATGGAATAATGGAATTCATGATGGTATATTGGTACATGAATATAGCATTTTGACCATGTTCATCTTTATTACACTCCTCTTCTTTCCTCCCTTCCCCAATTCCCTAGAAGACTACCTTCAACTTTCCTATCTTCTCGCCTTTCTTTCTATATTTACTGTATTTTTATTTATTTTTAGATTTCTTAAGAAAAAGCATGAGATTTTTTTTTTTTTTTTTTGGTACCGGGGATCGAACTCAGGTCCTTGCGCTGTGAGGCAGGCACCGGAACCACTGAGCTAAATCCCCAGACCTGAGCATGAGATTTTTAACACTCTGAGATTGGCTTATTTTGTTTAACAATGGTGTCCAGTTCCATCTGTTTTCTTCCAAATGACATGATTTCATAGTCTCACATTTTCTTTAACCATTCATCTCTGGGCATCTGAACTGTTTCCACTGCTAAGCTATTGTGAGTTGAACCACTGTAAACATGGGAATGCATATATCACTTTAGTATGCTGTCTGTAATTCTTTTTGAGAATATAAAGGAATAGAATAGCTGGTTCAAATAGTATATCTATTTTAGTTTTTTGAGGAATAACCATACTGTTTCTTATAGTGGTTGTACTAGCTTATATTTCCACCAACAATGTAGGAAAGAGGGTTTCTTTTTCCCTGCATCATCATTCATTGTTTTGTTTTGTTTTTTCCTTTATAATAGCCATTCTGATTGGAGTGAGGTGGAATCTCAACTTATTTTGATTTGCGTTTTCCTAATGGCTAAGGATGTTGAACATTTCTTCACGTACTTACTGGCCATTTGTATTTCCTCTTTTGAGAACTCTTTATTCAGTTCACTTGCCCATTTATTGATTGGGCTGTTGTTTTATTGTTATTGTTTTGGGGTTTTTAAAAATTCTTTATATGTTCTAGATATTAATCCTCTATCAGAAGAGTAGTTAGCAAAGATTTTCTCACATTCTATTCTTTTGTTGCTATGACTTTGTAATATGATTTCAGATCAGGTAATCTGATGCCTTCAGCTTTGCTGGTTTTATTCAGGATTGCTTTGGCCATTCTAGGTCTTCTGTGCTTTTATAAGAATTTTAGGAATATTTTTCCTAGTTATGTGAGAATGTTCTTAGTATTTTACTAGGGATTGTATTGAATCTATAGATCACTTTTGGTAGAAATATGTCCATCTTGACAATATTGGTTCTGCCAATTAATAAACAAGGTACATCTTTCCATTTTCTGATGTTTTCAGTTTCTTCAGTATTCTGCAATTTTCATTATAGATGTCTTTCACATTCTTGGTTAGGTTGATGATTAGTATTATGTTTTTTATCTAGATGTCTACCAGAAGCCTTATGTGCTCATAGGTGGAACTTTTACAAGGTGATAGGATTATCGGAATTTATAGCTGAGTTGGTGGGAAGAGATGGGATCTGGTCAGAAAAGGTGGATCCCTAGGGTTATGGCCTGGAAGGGTTTATCTCTTTCCCTGGTTCCTCCTTTGATCTCTCTCTGCTTCCCCACTGCTGTGTCTGAACAGCTCTCCTCAGCTCTCCTCTGCCATGTGTCTCTACCTTGCAGCCAGTTGACTATGGACTGAAACCTGAGCCCAGAAAAACACTTTCCTCCTACAATTGTGGGCATAGCTATTGTAAATGGAATTGTTTTTCTGATTTCTTCCTCAGGAGGTTTATCATTGGTGTTTAGGAAAGCTATTAACTTTTGTGGGTTATTTTTGTATCCTTCCTCTTTGCTGAATTTGTTTATCAGATCTAAGAATCTTGTAGGTAAAGTTTTAAGATTCTTTTATGTAAAGGATTATATTGCTTACAAATAAGTATAATTTGACTTCGTTTCCTATTTGTATCCCTTGTACTTCTTTTTCTTGCCTAATTGTGCTAAAATTTGAAATACTATTTTGAACAGGAGTGGTAAGAGGGGACACCGTTCTCTCATTCCTGATTTTAGAGGAATACTTTCAATGATTCCCTGTTAAGAGGATGATGCTAGCTGTAGGTTTGTTACATATATATAGCTTTTATCAATTGGAGAAAGGATCCTTCTATACCTGTTTTCTTCGGGGTTTTTAACATGAAAGGATGTTGAATTTTGTTGAAGCATTTTTCTGCATCTATTGAGATAATAATGGGGTTTATGTAGCATTGTTTTTGTTTTTTTTAATGTGATCAGTACTTTGAGATGAAACCAACTTGGTCATGGTGTATGATTTTTTTAATGTTTTGTTGAATTCTGTTTGCAAGAATCATATCGACTTCATCTATGTTCATCAGGGATATTGGTCTGTAGATTTTATACTGGTTTTGCTGTCAAGGTAATCCAGGCTTCGTAGTTCCCTTTCTATTTCTTTCCCTTTCTATTTCCTGGAAAAGTTTGAGAAACATTGGTGTTAATTCTTGTTTAAAAGTCTGATAAGATCTACAGTGAACCCGTTAGGTGCTGGGCTTTTCTTCACTGGGAGGGTTTTTATTTATTGTTTCAGTCTTGTTGCTTCTTACTGATTTGTTTAGATTTTTTTTTTTTTTTTTTTTTTTTGGTACTGGGGATCAAACTTGGGTCCTTGCGCTTGCGAGGCAGGCGGTGGAACCACTGAGCTAAATCCCTGGCCTTGTTTAAATTTTTCATGTCTCTGTTCAATTTTGGATGGTCATATATGTCTAAGAATTTATTCATTTCTTTTAGATTCTCTTATTTACTGAAATATAAATTTTCTTGTGAGCTCACCTTTTTCATTCATAATTTTATTAATTTGAGTCCTCTCATTTTTTGGTCAGTTTGGCTAAGGGTTTATCAATCTCATTATCCTTTTCAAAGAACCATCTCTTTGATTCACTCACCCTTTTTATTGTCCTTTTAGTGTCTATTTCGTTTATTTCTGCTCCAATGTGTGTTTCTTCCTTCTACTCTGCCTTGGTTTGATTTTTCTTTTTCTAGGATCTTAAGATGTATCATTGGGTTATTTATTCGGTGTAGGTACTCATGGGTATACATTTCCCTTTTAGGGCTGCTTTCTTTGTGTCCTGCAGATTTGATATGTTCTATTTCTGTCTTTAAAATTTTTTTTAAAATTTTTCTTAGTACATTTATGTCCATTGTCATTTGATTAGGAATTTTTCAATTTCTTCCTAAATATCTTTGATGGCCCATTTATCATTCAACAAAGTATTATTCAATCTCCATGGGTTTATATAGTTTTTATAGTCTCTTCTGCTGTTGATTTCTAGTTTCAGTTCATTGTGATCTGATAGGATGCAAGAGATTATTTTAGGGCTTTTTTTTTTTAAGCATTTATGGCCTAATACGTGGTCTACTTTGGAAGAAGTTCCATGGGCTACTAAAAAAAAATGTGTATTTTGTTATTGTTGGATTAAATACTCTCTAGAAGTGTTCAGTCCATTTCATCTATAGTGTAATTTAACTTTGATGTTTCTTTGTTGATTATTTTTTGGGGGAGGGAATGTCCAGTTGACCTGATTCTGACAGTGGTACATTGAATTCATTCATTATGACATTAGGATCTTTATGACCTATAATGTACAGTAGTGTTTATGAAATTGGATGCAGTGATGTTTGATGTATATATATTTACAATTGCAGCCAGGGATTTAGCTCAGTGGTTTCGCTGCCTGCTGCGCAAGTGCAAGGACCTGAGTTTGATCCCCGGTACAAAAAAAAAAATATTTACAATTGTTAGCTCTAACTAGTGAATTTTTTCCTACCAATATGTAGTGTTCATCTTTGTCTCTTTTTACTGATTTCAGTTTGAAGTCTGCCTTGTTGGATATAAGTAAGCTACTATTGCTTACTTTTGGGTTCCAGTTGGTTGGAGTATCATTTTCCATTCTTTCACTTTCAGAGTGCAAATCTTTGCAGGTGAAGTGTGTTTCTTGTAGGCAGCATATAGTTGAGTCATGTTTTTTGATCCAGTCTGTGTCTTATTGGAGAATCAAGATCATTTACATTGTGTTATTATTGAAAGGTAGGTATTTATTCTAGTCATATTGTTGTTCTAGTGCTTCGTTCATTCCTGATTTTCCTTTGTTTATATATTCTCCTATTTAAATTTGTTCTTTCCCTTGATCTCATGGTTGTGGTTGTCTTCTGTGTTTAGGATTCTCTTAAGTACTTTCTGCAATTCTGACTTAGTAGTCATGAACTTTAGTTTATCCTTATCTTAGAAGGTCTTCATTTATCCTTTGATTTTGAAGGATACCCTTTCAAGATATAGTAGAATAGCAGTTATTTTCTTTAAGGTTCAAAATACATCATTCCAAGCCCTCCTGACCTTTAGGGTTTTTGTTTAAAAATCTGCTCATTTTCTGATGGCTTTGCCACTGTAAGTGATTTTGCAGTTCTCTCTAACAGCTGTTAATTTTGTTTGTTCTGAATTTTTGGCAATTTGTCTATGATATGTTGTGGCAATGATCTTTTCTGGTCATAACTATTTTGGGGTTGCAGATGTCTCCAGTACTTGGGTATCCATCTTGTTGCCCAGATTTGGGAGATTGTTTTGCTATAGTTTCAATGAATAGGTTTTCTGTGCCATTTGCCATTACTTCCACACATTCCTCAAGGCCAGTGATTCTTAAATTTGTGCACTTAGAGTTGTCTGTGAGCTCATGGATAATTTTTTGTTTCTCATTCTGTTTTCATTACCACTGGCTGAATGTTTTAGTATGTCCATCTTGTCTCCAAACCCTGATACTCTTTTTTTCTGATTCAGTTTACATACTATTGAGACTTTCAGTTGGGTTTTTTATTTGACTAATTGAGGATTTGTTTTTAGAATTTCCATTTAGTTGTTTTTTGGAACCCACATTTCTTTACCAAAGTGGTCTTTCATATTACATATTGTCTTCCTTAATTTATTCAGCTGCTTATTTGTATCTTCTTTAAGCACATTGATCATTTTACTAACTTATTCATTCAGCTACTTGTTTGTATCTTCTTTGATTTCATTCATTGTTTTAACTATCTTTTTTATTTTTTAATTATTTGGAAGTTTTTCCACTCATATATGTATGGGATCAGTTTGGGGGAAGTTATGAATTTTTGGTGGCATTTTATTGCCTTGTTTTCTCGCTATTCTTGTGTTTTTTGTTGAAGTTTAAGGATCAGTTAGGGTAAATCTCTCTTAATTGTATAGAGGTAGGACATTTTAGAGAGTGGTTTTCTCTTTGTGATGTTCCCTAGGCTGTGGGTATACTGCAAACTGCCTTTTCAAACTATATTTCTATGAATATGATTTGATTTTTTGGCAAATATAGATGACTTAATTGTTTTTGTACTGTCCATGATATCTCTAAGGCATTATTTCAGTTTTGTTTGAAGTTACCTTTCTCCAGCTTTGCCATTGTTTCAGTGGCCAGATTAGTGCTATGGCAAATATATATGTACTAAAGAACTTTACCCAAACAGATGCAGCCATATTAAGAAAAAGTAATTTTAGAAGCCGTATGTCTGGATACCTTGATGGATATCTTTGTCACTGCTGTTTTAATTAGCTCCTTAAAAAAGAAGGAATACTTATGGAAATAGGAAGAAAGCATTTTTGAGAACACTAATCAATAATGTTGAATGCCGTGAGATTGGACAGGATAGAGGCTGAGAAAAAGCCATTGTATTTAATCAAGTAAATCATTGCAGAGTAACTAATTTATTGTCTTACCTGGAATACTTTTGGGACTGAAAGGATATATTAATACACCAGTACAGCAAGTGTGAACTGCAAATGTGCAGGGGACTTATGGTCTGTGATGGCCCTAAACTCCAGGATCTTCAAGAACATTACGATTATCATCCATAAGGAAGATAGGCACCAGATGGCAGTGACTGGATAGGGGTGGATAGGGACAAGGTGGCAGCCTTCCCATGTCACCTGCACTTTTAAAAAAATTATTTTTAATTAAAAAAATGTAAAAGATGAAGGGATAGAATATATTTGGGAGGCTATAAATGAAAATACTTGCTTGTGTAGTAAACCATGAGTTTTACAAAATTTCACACTGATGTCTTTTTTCCATACTACTGATCTGACTGATTATAATAGAATGTTCTTTTGCCTTATAGCCATCCAATGAAAAACCAAAATGCCCAGAATTACCACCATTTCCATCATGTTTGTCTACAATCCACTTTGTTATATTTGTAGTGGTACAAACAGTGCTATTCATTGGTTATATCATGTATAGGTAAGTCTTTTGATAAAATTTGACATAATATTTTTCTTTATCTGTTCAGTTTGAGATAGTCTGTGGAGTAATATATGACCACAGTAGGACTTTTAATGCCTATGAAATTATAATGTTTCAATTCATATTGGAAGTTCATGTGTAGAATATATGCTTGCCTTAATATATTTTATACTTCAAAAGGCTTTGATATTTTAATGATAAACAATCTTATTTCTTTACAAAGCTAAGTATGTAGAACTTCTTTCAATTTTTCTTTCTTTTTTTAGGACTCAACAAGAAGCAGCTGCCAAAAAATTCTTTTGACCTCCATTTTCATATGTGTCCATCCTGTATGTATGTATAAAATGTCTTTTTGAGGGAATTTAAGTATTTAAATTGCTTCATAGTCTAAATTATTTAGTTTTTGTACAAAAACTTGAAACGTTGATTTTCAGTAAGAATAAACATTAAAACAAAGAAAACCACATGTAAATTTGTTGATAGCACATAAACCTATTTAAATTTCAGTGAATTCTAGTCTATAGATTGCAACCACTAAACAGAATATTGACAAGTAAGAGCTTAAATAATAGAAAACAAGGGACATCCTCTGGATATGAGTGTTACCCTAAGTCTCCAATATTGGATTACCCTAAGTCTCCAATGTTGGAGGTTTCTTTGTTTAGCATAAACACATTTGCCTTCCTGCTTCTCAGTGTAGGAGGTCAAATTAAGAGCTCCCTGTTTGTATGTATTTTTTAACCAAAGTCTTTCTTTAGGGGTCAGAGTTTCCTAACCCAAGACCAGTCATGCAGTCCTTTACTGTTTTGTGTTTTTTTTTGGTACCGGGGATCGAACTTGGGTCCGTGTGCTTGCAAGGCAGGTGGTGAAACCACTGAGCTAAATCCCCGGCCCGCAGTCCTTTACTCTTAACACAGCTCCCTCTGGAATCAAAGAATATTTTGTCTGAGAGCTTTAGGATGTAGATAATAGGCTTCAGAATGTTTAATGAAATGGTTTTTCTCTCTGATTACCAATGCTATATTTCAGAAAATTTGACGGGGGTGGATTAAGCTGTTTTTTGCCTAAAAAATCAGGTAGTTTGCTTGAGAACATATTTATTTCATGATGGCCCATAATTTTGATTGTCTTTATTCCAATTTGGTATCAGTGAATATTGTAAAAATAATTTTTATATTAATATTTTTAATTTAAAGACTTTATTTCTCCCATTTTGTCCAACCTGTAATTCAGCTCAGATTGTATGTCCTGAAGACAATTCAAATTCACAAAACCTACCCACTGTATTCTGATTTATATTACTCCGTGTAACCCAGGGTTTTTAACTAATTATGTACTCCTTTAAATCAAGGAGATTGTTTAAGTAGCAGTTTTAAGATTTTTGAAGGGCAAAGTTGAAAATTAGAGTATATACTTCTGATTTCTTCCTTTCAGTGCTGGAACTAAGAATGCTGTGAAGCACTTGTTAGTACACTTAACCATGAAATGTTAAGAGTGGGAAGGAAATTTTATAGTCTTTGTACATAGTTCTAGTATTAGAGAAACCATCTGTAAATAATATTTTAAAATACAAATTTAATCTTTTTTCTCACAGCTCATGTAGACTTACTTTTCCTGGTTTGTCTTCCATTTGTCATATGATCCAGAATAATACTGTTTTAAAAAATAGTACTGTTGAATTCTTTCAAGCATTCCTAATTTTGCTCTCAAATGTCATTTACAAATTGGGCTAGTGACCTAAAATCTATATAAAAACTTAATGAATAACTATTATAGCAATACCTAGATAGAATTGTGTGTCCAATCTCATGTTGCTTTTTATGTTAGCTTTAATCCTAGAATTCTGAAAGAGAATATACTAATGAGTCACTTTACTTCAGTCACTTCAATGTATAAAAATGCTGCATTCATACTTTTCCTTTGTAGTGGTAACATTTTGAAATTCATGTTTCAGAGACGTCATCATCACAGAATTTACTCATATTCCATGAAAAATATTAATATCTTCAGAAGAATGTTTAAGTTGTAGACTATGAAACTTGGGAAATCCTCTTGAGATAAAAGGCTGCCAAATCCAGTATTATAAAGTCCATGGTCACATGGGTGAACATTAAGGGAATACCAGATCTATACAGTATACATTTTTCAGGTTAAAATGCAAGGAAAATCATGGTGATTATTCCTAAGACAAATGGAGATGGCTATTATGAAAGACCATGAGCATGAAACTTTTTCTTTTTTTTTTACTAATGAATTTATTTTGCTTAAAATCATTCAGTAAGTTTATTCAGAGTGTTTATCTTATTTGAGTTGTGGTTGTTTTCCTCAAAATCATTGACTGAGTAACTTGTTTCAGAACAAAAATACTTGCTCTGTGGAAAAATCAGTCACTGCCAGAAAATTCTTTCATTTCTCTCTTTTGTATAATTGAATTTATTCACTTCTCTTACACCAGCAAGTATTTTACAGGTGCCTTGGATTAAAACAATTTATTTTAAATTTTCAGTATAAGTCATCGTGTTTATAATGCCACTTTTGAAAAGAAAATACAATTACATAAAAGCTAATACTCTTATTTAATGTACCTATTTGTATTCTAATAATTTGAATATTTTATCCAGCTTGAAACTTTACTATGATGTCACAAAAATAACTAATGTTTTTGTTATGTATTAAAGACATATCATTGTTTCTCAGAGTATGATCTGTGGACCATCTGGGTCTTGGAATGCTTGTTAAGAATACAGATTCCAGGTCCCCATTCCAAGCCACCTGCATCAAATCTATGGTGAGGCTTCAGGATATCAGTGTTCAACAGGCAGTTCCAATGATCAAAACACACTAATGGTTGTGTGGAGGATGAAAAGGAAAAACAAAACAAAAAACTGAAGTTTTGTTGGTTTAAAGCTGCCTGTGAACATAATATAATACTTCTGTTATCGGTGAAATTAGCAAATGTGCACTGATTCTTTTATACTCACAGTTTACTTAGTGTTCCTTTCACTAAAACTCTTGATTCCTTAGCACTACTACTCACTAAATCCAGGTTGTTGCTCGGAGCTCTTGGTACTTTTGTTAGCTTTTAAACCTAACAGAATCATCTTCAGATCATGGTCAGGCCATGAGAACTCCCATTGTGAAGCCTGCCTGCTAATGCGCTTTGCCTTCCTGATTGTGATTGTGGTGATATTTTATCTCAGACAACTGTACTTTTTGATAACTTGGGGAAAACAAATTACTTGAATAAAGGATTGCTGCTTTGCAAAGATACAGTCTTTGTAAAGAACATAAGTAACAATTGTGAATATTAAAATGTGATTATCTTTTCCTTTCCATGTCCTTACTGAAAGGAGATAGTGAAAAAATTATTATATTGGGCATTTTTTATTTATAAGATTTAGTGAAAAATCAACTTTTGCAACTTTATAGATCCATATGTTGCCTGTTTAATATATTTCTTTTCTGATATTACCTAAAATTTAAAAAGGTTTTCTATCCATTGTCAATTTCAATTGGATGATATTTTGTCAGATTTTTTTCTGATTGTTATTTGATGCTACCTGGAATTCAAAAAATGACATTGATCTTACTTAAATAAAGAAATATTTTAGTAAATTTGCTTTTTCCTTTATTGATCCTGGATAATAAAGAGCTATATATTTTCCAAATGGGCCCTGATTTGTGGAGATTTCATTTATCTCTGATCTGTGCTCTACCTTAGGTACCTACGTGGCCTTCCTCCTGTGGAGTCTACTCAGGGAAGGGTAATAACACAAAGTAGAAATGACAGTGAATAAATGTTGAGCCTTGCTGGTAATGAGAAGTATATATTAACTAAAATAATATATGCCTTTAAAAACTAACCACTGGCAAAATGTAGTTAGTTAAGGTAGAACTCTTAGTTACTACTACTTAATGCCAACTTAAAAATTCTTTGTTTTTTAGTAAGTACCATTTAATCAAATGGTAAGACTTTGGGGTTGGGCAAATCTGAATTTGAATATTGGTTCTGGCACTTACTGGAAGTGACCTTTAGTGTCATATGGTTGTTAGCAATGTAAAAGGAAGTCTTTATATAAAGTGTTTTCAAAAAATAGCATACTAAGTTAATGGACCCTCAACTATAAACAAATGCCAAATAAAAGATTTAAATACATAGATGAGTTAGAAACCAGGAGGAGCATAAATTTTGATCAGAAAGCCTGTAGGCTGGGGAGGGATGGTAGAAACTAGAGTGTAGGAACATGGCCTTGGTCCTGGAAAGACCAGGAGGCTGGAACTAAGTGGATAAAGGTAAGACTGGTAAGCTGCTCATTCAGTGGTAGTGGAGTAATAGTATCTCTTATTCGTGCCCTGAAAACTTGGAGAAGGTGTAAGGAAGCTTCTTTACCCGGGTTATGGGCAGGAGACAGTTTGCTGCAAAAAAGTGAAGGCTTGTGTTTTATGCTGTTATGGCTTCCAGACAACCTGCATGGTGTGGAATTTTCCAAGCCAAAACTCTAAATTAGTTCCGGTCTGGTAAAATGCAGAAGGTGGCCAAACAAAAGCACTCTTAGCAATAACTCCACAACAAAAGTACATCAGACAGGGCCAAGGATTTAACTCAGTGGTTCCACTGCCTCCTTCACAAGCGGAAGGACCCGAGGTTTGACCCTCGGTACCAAAAAAAAAGTACATCAGACAGCCATAGAACAGCCAGTTCAACTGAAATGGACTCTAAAAATTATATGCCAAAGGGCCGGGGATTTAGCTCAGTGGTTACACACCTGCCTCGCAAGTGCAAAGGCCTGAGTTTGATCCCCGGTACCAAAAAATAAAAAAATTATATGCCAAAGAAGGAAAATACAAAAGAATGACAATGGACATAATAAATAGAAAACTTAGCACCTCCAAGAATCTGGGATAATAGTACAAAGACAACTACCATAATATGTATACTTAAAATGACTGAAAAGACTGAGGTTTATAAAAGACTAGAAGTCATCAGAACTAGAATACTGAAAAATAGAACAATTAAAGTTCTGGTATGAGAAACTGAAAGTGTAAATAAGGATCAAAAGGCATAATAGATAATGTGAAATAGGAAGAAAAGGTCCAAAGGGGAAGTGGGAGGGTTAGGGGAAAGGAAAGAAGGGAATGGAATTAATAGGAGAAAATGAAAAAATGGAAACGAAGTCTTTGTAAATAGGGAGGGGTGGAGGGGTTGAAGGAAGGGCAGGGGAATGGGGAAAAAAAACAAGGTATATTATGTAAAGGTATAAATTTCCAATGATGTCATTATATTGTATACCTAAAATGTACCAATAAAATTAATAAAAATTGTTTTTAAAGTTTCAGGATAAAAAAATCAACATGAAAATCAATGATATTTCTATAACAATGAACTATCAAAGGAAAAAAATTAAAATAATAAAGTTCTGGGCTGGGGATTTAGCCCAGTGGTTCCGCAGCCTGCCTCACAAGCACAAGGTCCCAAGATTGATCCCCAGTACCAAAAAAATCTGGAAAAATAATAAAGTTCTAAAGAACAAAACAACTTAAAAGGCAAGGAGAGGGTTTAAATTTGAATACCACATTGGACATAGCTGAAAAAGTGATTGAATTCTTAGGGCTGAAAAAAAATTATAGAGGATGCAACATAAGGTAAAATAGTGGAAATTGCAGTAAATTGGGAATCAATGAGGAGGTACAACATCTAGCAGGGGTTCTAGAAGGAATGGAGAGAACCATGGGAGAACTGTTCAAAGGTACAATAATAGCTGAGAATTTTCCAAAATTGATGCACGGATGCTCATTTGAATCTTGAGTCTAAAGAGAGTGGAGGAGGGGGTTGAGGGAGTTTCCCACAGATATGAACCAAGTCTTAAAAGTATATGTAGGTGGGCTGGGGATTTAGCTCTGGTTCCACCGCCTGCCTCACAAGTGCAAGGTCCTGAGTTGGATCCCCAGTACCAAAAAAAAAAAAAAAGTATATGTAGGTACTGATTAGCCATGCAGATGAAGGGGACTGGCTGCAAGAGAAGCTACTACAAGCAGACAAAAGCAGACAAGGTGGTATGAGCAAAAACCTGGAGTTTAGGAACAGTATCATGTATATGAGAACCTGTGAGCATTTCTTTTATGCTAGAGAATAAAGGAGACAATAATGGTTGGCTCTATGGGCTATTTCAAAGACCTTGGATTTCATGTACAAGCCAGTGGGAGGCCATGATGTTTTAAGCAGATAGGGAACATTTGCATTTCAGACATTGCAGTCTGTTTGCTTCATGGAGAATGGATTGAGGAAGGACCCTTGAGACAGAGACCAGATGCAGTGCTCCCTAGAGATAGGCCAACAGTGAAAATTGAGAAGTAGAAATTTATGAAAATAGACATAAAAATAATGGCACTGTCTTAGTCCATTTAGATGGCTATAACAAAATACAGTATCAGGTAGCTTATAAACAATAAAAATTTATTTCTCACACTTCTGGAAGGCTGGAAAGTCCAAGATCAAATCACTGGTAGACTTGGTGTCTGGTAAGGAAGGGCTTATTTCCTAGCTAGCTGTTCTTTTGCTTTGTCCTCACATGGCAGCAGAGGCAAGGGACCTGCCTTGGGCCTCTTAAAGTGGCACAAATCCCATTTGTGAGGACTCTGCCCTCATGACCTAGTCAGCCTCAAAAGACCCCACTTCCTAATGCCGTCACCTTAGGGGTTCGGTTTTTTTGGGGGGGGGAGTTGGTTTGGGTTTTTTTGTACCAGGGATCAAACTCAGGACCTCGAACTTGCCAGGCAGGTGCTGTGCCACTGAGCTACATCCCTGGCCCAGGGGTTGGGATTTTACCATGAAGTTTAGGGCAACACAACCACTCAGATCCTAGCAAACATCTAATGGTGATTTGATGGAGTAAGAAATGAAGAGGAAGAATGGAGAATAAAATTTTGTCTCTGGCTTAGGGAGTTGGATGGAAGGTTGTACCATGCCCTAAAATAAGCATAAGAAAAAGGGTAGGAGTTAAAGAGAAGGAGAAATTGAGTTCCATTTGGGGCATGGATCTTGACATAACTATCCAAGTGAAAATGGTCAGGAGGCTTAGAGTCAGGATAGATCCATGCCTCAGACAGAGTAATCATATGAAATACAGACAGAACATTTTGAACAAAGCCCAGAAACAAGATACCTGTGCCCAGTAAATGTCAGCTAATATCCTATAGGCCTTGAAAATCAGAAGACTAAACCAGGACACTCTACCCCTGTCTTCGTGGCTCTATCTGCTCATGAGTTATTGACAAGAGAATAATCCTAGCCAGTGTTGGGAGTCCTTTTTGTTTCTTAGGGTCCCGCAAGTCTAGATAGCTGCCTGGTCAGCTACCACATGAAATTTGCTCTTTTTTGTCTGCTGAATCCCATTTATTTCTTTTGGATACTGCTGGTCCTGATGGCCTCATATCCCTTGGCCATTACTGCTCATTTTTCTACATGTTGCCACATCAGCCCAGCCACAGCACCACTTCTGGCATGTTCCATCACACACAACAGGTCCCCCTGTTGTTAGTAGGCATAATTACACTCTTCCTGATGCTGCAGCCACTCTGCCATCTGGATCAGGCATCAGCTGCCATTGCCTGCAGAGCCAATGGAGGCTCAGGAACCAGTTTGGTGTGTGCGTGCATGCATGTGCATAAAATAAGATATCTTCTCACATGATTATGGAGGATAAGTCTCTTGATTTCCTGTCTAAGCAGAACCCAGAAAAGTCAGAAGTGCAGGTCAAAGACCTGATAGGAAAAGAGTCAATAGTATGGATTCTGTCCTACTCTGAAGGCCTGAGAACAAGCAGTGCCATGAGCTGGAGAATATCAGTAGCCTAGCTCAAGCAGTCAGACAGAAAATTCAGCCTTCCTGTGGCTTTTTATTCAGGCTCTCACAGATTAGATGATGCCCACTCATGTTGAGAAGGGTCATCATCTGCTTTACTCAGCACACCAATTTAAATGCTAGTCTCTTCCATAAACATTTTCATAGGCACACCAGAAATAACATGTAGCCTGATACCAGAATCCCATGAACCAGGCAAGTTAGCACAAAATATTAACCATCACAGGTGGTTAAATGGAGGACATCACAAGCCAAATGGAAGATGGCTTTTTCCATTTGCATGTTACTTTCTATTAAAGAACTTAAAGCAGCGATGTGTGGGCCTCAGTGCCCAAGTTAGCAGAGAGAACAGTTCACATTTAATTATGGGTCTATCTCTATAGGAAACAGTCATAATGAATTCATTGGTCTGGGCCATGATGAACCTGAGTGAAAATACCACGTTCAAAATGTCTCCTGCCTCTGAGAACTAAGGTTTTCTAAAGAAAAGCTTACATGTCTGCTTTAGTTGAGTTTTCTCCCAAAAGCTTCCTTAGTACTTCATGCAAATAGGCTGTCAGCCACCCCACTTGTTACACTTTTCCAAATGTTAATCCGTTCCTTTTTTTTTTTTTTTTTTGGTACCGGAGATCGAACTCGGGACCTTGCACTTGCAAGGCAGGCAGCAGAACCACCAAGCTAAATCCCCGGCCCTACACTTTTCCAAATGTATTGGAACTCCAAACATAGGCATAGCTCAGGTCAAACTGGCCAGCCCACCATGTGAACAGGAAATTAGTGTGTTTCCCAACTTATAATCCCCTTCCACATAGAGCCAACATGGAGATTTACAACCAGATCACAAAGGCCAGCATGTCCTGTTAAGAATAACAACTGGGGGGTCGGGGATTTAGCTCAGTGGTTCCACTGCCTGCCTTGTAAGCACAAGGTCCTGAGTTCGATCCCCAGTACCAAAACAAAACAAAAAATAACAACTGGGTTTAAAACCAAGTCACCAGAAGCATGGCAGGTCTGTGATATGATTCAGAATAGACTGATGTAGGCTAGCTGCTAAAGTATTAGCCAGAGAAATACTTCAGGGATTTTAAAGCAATCAGGTATTACATTGCTGAATATAATAGAAGATTGGAATGATGAACTAGTGATACATTTTCTAAAAACTGTCACTGTGGGAGAAAAAGTGCTAAGATGTGCTGTGTACTCATAGCATTCCAAATGATCTCACAACCTATCAGATAACAACTCAACAAGACACTATGGAAGAGGCTCTTAAGTTCTATAAGTCAGTGAAAATTGTGTTGTGATTGGGAAATCTCTTTGCATAGCTGGTATATAATCTTGGGTTTGTGTCTACGAAGATATTAGCCAGTCCTATAGAAATAAAAATAACCATGCTATTTGACCATTTCCATACAGCTCATTAATTATGTATTTCTATGATGTAAAACAAGAACCATTAACACTTGTCCAGTAAGTATTCTGATTAGGACTGTGTAATTAATTTGTGGTTTCTATAATGGTCTTTCTGGTTCCCAAGAATTTTTCTCTTTTTATATTACAGTTTTCCAAAGTTAGAATCGAGGTTGAAAATCCATCCAGTATATTTTATCTTTAAGTCATCTTTACACTTAGCACTTGGTAACCACTTTTTTCCTGCCAGCTCTCTGACCTTCATGAGGTTCAGCTACCTCCAAATTGGTGTTGTGTCATCTACTAAGAGGATATAATGACTGGGCCGGCACAAACTAATAGCCATGCTTTCCCTGAGGAAGGTCAAAAAAGAAAAGATACCACAAACCAACTTACAGGCCCCAGATTAAGGTTTAATATGAAAAGAAAAATCCTAGGCAAAGGATCTAAAGGGATTTATGCTGTTTGAATGGGATCTTTCTAAAATTCAGTTCCACTAATGGGATTATTGCTTCTCTCGTAAATTCTTTAGGTCAGATATCATCACGTCATTCAAGCTGAGTAAGTAGTTCACAACTAATAAGTATTTACAAAGGTGATCCATTAAAATCAGGATGAGACATGATTTTTTTTTTAACTACAGCCAGTGGTTTTATTCCTGACAACTAACAAAGAAGGCAGCAACCACTGGAGCTTTGATTTGTAAAGAACTAATCACACACATGCCCAAAGGTAATTCTTCAAGTGTTCCTACTCTCCAGGTAATTCTCCAAATGTCCCTACACTCCCAAGTAGTTTGTTTTTTTTAATGCAGTACTGGGGATAAAACATAAGGCCTCCATACTGAGCTACACTCTCAGCCCATTTTTTATCTTGAGACAGGGTCTTGCTCAGTTGCCCAGGCTGGGATCAAACCTGGTATCCTGTTGCTTCAGCCTCCCAGAGTGCTGGGGCTACAGATGTGTTCCATCATGCCCAGCCCAAGTAGAATCTTGAATACCTTCATTAAAGTCAAATTGTTTAAAAATAAGCTGATCTTATGACCTTTGACCTTATGAATGAAAAGTTGAAATCATTCATTCTTTTTCCCCCAAGATTACTATCAATTACTTATTATGTGCCAAGTATAATTCTTTGGGGTAAGGATACAAAAGAGAACAAAATTACATTGACCTCTCATGAAATTTACATTCTAATAGAGTAGATGGAAAGTAAACATCTGAATCAATAATAATATCATTTCAGGTAGAATTAAGTCCTGTGAAGCAAAACATAGTAGGACAGAGGAATAGAGAGGTTGGGGATGGTAGAGGCAAGGTATTTTAGAGTAGTCGGGACATTCTCTAAGAGGGTGAATTGGACCAGAGTCCCGAATTGAGAGTGAGCCAAGTGAAGGTGTGGAGAAGATTAGCAGGGTTCCATGAGGACAAAGGTGGGAACAAAACTTAGTTCAAGGGACAATAAAGACATCAGTGATCAGAGTAGACTGGGCCAGGGGAATGCGGGACATGAGACTGGCAAGTCAGCAAGGGACAAATAGTGTAAGGCTGCCTAGGCCACAGAAAGGAGCAGGAATTTTATTCAGGCAAGGTGGGGAGCTGTGGGGTGGGGGTTAATACTAATGGTACCATTCCATAAGCCTTATTGTTTTCTCTATCTGGAAGAATAGAAGATTTTACCAACATTCTACAAAAATTCTACACACAGCAGCAAATAGTTGCTAGATGTCCTATTGAAAAGAGTATTGTAATAAATTGAGAAGCAGAAGGGAGGGATGGAGGGGTTGAAGGGAGGGTAGGGGAATGGGGAAAAAAGAAGAACCAAGAGAGATTATGTAAAGGTGCAAATTTCCAATGATGAATGTCATTATATTGTATACCTAAAATGTACCAATAAAATTAATTTTTAAAAAAGAAGTTTTAAAACATGATTCTATTCTCAGTAGAATTATCTGTTGGGATACAAATAAGACTTGATTTCATAAGGTAAAGAAAGAGTGGAGGATATTCAGTTTTCACACTGTTTTAGTTTCACCTAACAGTCTCTCTAATGCTTGGCCACCTCTTTTCCAGATACATACAGAAAAGGACTGGACAGGGAAACACTGCTTTACAGACTTGTTTTGGAATTTAGAGTTGACGCTCTTGCTAATAGGATTTCCTAATGCTCAATAAAATGGAATTTTAATAAATACTTTTATAAAAACCAAATAGTAATTCTATTAAAATGGATTTAAAAATTTTTTTTATTTTGTTTTGTTCTTTAGGGAAGAGTATTAGTCCTCTGACTCAAACTCTTCAAATCCAGTTGACTAACAGTATAACTTTTGGGATTTCACTTTCAGAACAAAACTATTTCAGAGGACAGGACTTCAGCAGGTTCTCCTTTTCTTTGGAAAAATAAAAGTATTTTTAATGCCATGAAACACCTGTTCAGTATTTTGTAAAGGAAAATTTCTGTGTGCTGTACTAGAAAAACAAAAAACAATAGAAACCTAGGACTTCTCAGTCTATAAAGTGTTATAAAACCATAATTAAAAACATCCCTCAATGGAGATGAAAGTTTATTATAAATGGAATTTTGGGATGTTTTGAATGTGGTAAGTTTCAAATAACCACCCTACAGTGAAAGTGAAGATAAGTATTAATGTACATCCTCAATCTGAAGGCGCCAAGTAAAGTTTATATTTCACCTTAAATTATCTTTGTCTTTCCTATTGACATGTTAGCATCATTTTAAAATAGATTAGTAAAAATAGAAAGAAGACCTTAAAAATATACAAAGCAAGCATTTTAAGTAAAAATACAGATTTTTTTCAATTCCATACAATTGGAGGTTGTCTTTTTTCTAAGAGGGCTCATGACTTCTGATAAAATAATGAGCATAGGTTACAAATAGGTTGCAGCTCTTCTCTCCCACACCTTCCTCTCCTGGAATGCTTTAATTAGAAACATATTAGTGTAGATTAAAGTCTTAGCCATTCCCAATTCTTACCTTGACCTGACGAAAACCACACCAGAGAGAATGTGGTGCATTATAAAATACTGTCAAGTTGTATCCAGCTACACTTGGGAGCTTAAATAGAGCACCCAGCAAGTGGACCGTAAAGGAAGAAGTGACCCAGTGCATACTGCTGATTTGACTCCCAGAAGAACTTACCTCTGGATCAGAGCCTGAAGGTGTCAATCATGCCCTTTTCAGGTAGATGAGTGGCACTTCTGTTTGGGACAGGCTAAGCTCGCCTTCCAGTATGAAGTAAGGCCCTGAGCTCACCCTTTAGAGCTGGGTTGTACATGTTTGTGTGGGACACAGTCATCATTAAAGTGGGACAAAATTCAAGCAAACCAAAAAGCAAATCTTTGCATAGTACTTTGCTTTCAATGAGATAAAATATGGACCAGGAGGTTTATTTTTGCTGAATGAAGCATTCTGTATTTTGAATCTCACTGGACTCAGTTTTCAACAGGATCATGTGCCCAACAGCTGGAATTTGGAAATTCTGTAGCATCTATATAATCAGTCAGTTCTGATTAAACTGCAGCAAGGCTCTTGGTGGAGGTCTACTGCATATATAATTTAAAATTTGGGGACTGGGGTATAGCTTAGTGGCAGAACTCTTGCCTAGAATGCACTAAGACACTGAATTCAATCCTTAACCTTCAGCACTTAAAAAAAAAAATTTAGAAATGGTGGATAGGAGCAGAAAATATGAGTGGTTTTCTCCCTGTGAAACCAGCTGAGTGTATGAATCAGAAGGTAGTCAGTTGCATCTGATAGTGGGCTTTAGTAATTGGAACCATCTGCCTCCATTCTAAGCATACTAAGGCATTCACCAGTCTAATCCAGCTTACAGCGGACAAACTACTCTTCCTATCATTATGCCCTCAAATAGAAGAGGCTGTACAAAATCCCTTGCTGCTAAATGTGCTACTGTCACTGAAGATATTTGGAGGTTTTATCGGGATTGTTTGATAAGGGGTGGGTTTTTTTGTTTTCAGGTTTTATGAGTTTTATTTGTAGTCTTCTAGGGCAGAGACAATGGCTTTCTTTGTAAAAAGTATGATAAGTAACCAGGTAAAGAATTTAGGATTTGGAGGTGGGGCTGAAGAAAAAAAAGAAGAAGGAGGCACATCCGACCCAGCAGCAGCTCAAGGGATGACTAGAGAGGAGTATGAGGAATACCAAAAGCAAATGATTGAGGAGAAGTGAGTACTGCAACTTCATTTCCCTTTGAAAGCAAGGGAAATCCATTCTACACGTACCTTCTTCAGCTCCCCAGCTTATTTCTCTGTGCTTTTTAGGATACTTTCCGTCTGACTGTTTAGCTCTAACCTGAGAAAATTTTATTTAAGTAAAGTGAACGATTCCATAGCATCCATGGCACCTATGTGCTACTTGTATAAATGGAAGTAAAAAATACAAATTAATCTATATGTTATTCTTAAAGCAGCTTAACATTTCCTGGCCGAGGCATGTTTTAATTTATCTTAATTTAATTGTTCAAACAAAAAATGATGAGTCTAACTGTCTTTGTAATCCTTCTTAAATTCACCTTCCTACCAAATAGGAAGTTTTCAAATTGTGAGAACTAAGACTTTCTATCTAGAAGAGAGGCTAAAAACATATAGTGTAACCTCCTTAATCTTGCATAAAAAAATCAAAAAACACACCATGACAGTTTTGTCATAGACGTAGTTATCAGACTCTGAAAAATTTATGGACTGCTTATTGCAAAAATGTTAACATAAGGAAAAATAGAATAGTATGATGCATGCTCCAAAATACTGGTGACAAAAGTCAACAGTAAACATCATGCCATAATTGCATTTTTAAAATAAAGTACAGTTGGGCTGGAGATCTAGCTCAGCAGTTCCGGTGCCTGCCTCACAAGTATAAGGTCCCGAGTTTGATCCCCAGTACCAAAAAATAAAAAAATAAAAAATAAAATAAAATAAAGTACAGTTATCATGATACTTCCCCCTAAATATTTTAGGGCTGTGCTTCTAAAAATAAGAGCATTGTCCTAGGTATATAAAATGTAATAAAAGTAAAATATGACTACTGTAACATTTTGGTTGGGTATGATGGAATATGAATATCACCAATAATTTGTCACTATTCAAAGACTGTTAATAAGCATAAATTTAAAAGCTTTAAGTAGAATTAAGAGTATTTAATAATCAACTAAGAAGTACATTGAAGTGTCAATGTACCCTTTACATTCATCACATGCTACAAAAGAAAAGTATTTATTTTTGCTACCATGGCTATTTTGCTAACAATCAATTATAGTTGCCTAAGTCTTATCACTAAGATGATTATGGGTGAAAAGTTTAGTGACCTGGAGGAAATTAAGAAAGTACAAAACATACATTTAGTAGAAACCTTGTCTATTGTATTTTTCTAAAAGAAATCATGGCTTCTAAACTACCTAGAATTCATTATGCTTTGTTCTGCAGTAAATTCAGTTAAAAATAAAAAAAGAAAGAGAAAAAAGGAAAGAAAGAAAGAAAGAAAGAAAGAAAGAAAAATGCAAGTGAAAAAACGATGTTGGTGCCAAGATAAAATTTGGACAAAAGAAGCAACATTCTTTGAGTACTGGCCTGCTTTGCCTATGTCTGTACAAGAAAAACAAGTACAATGAAGAGAGAGTAGAGCAAAAGCATCATAAAGTTTCAGTTCAAGCAAGCTAGTAAAAATAGCCAGGAGTTCAGATTATATACATGATCATGCAAAAATATCATTTAATAAGGCCAGACAATAAATCATAGATGTGGCATCTGTTTGATTAACGTCTTAGCTTTCCTTAATTTTATATATGGGCAGATCAAAGCTCAAAATAGCCAAGTCATATGGTTGATCTGTAGAATGGGTTGTCTGCGCACTGCTTGGCTTTGTGTGTGTGTGTGTGTGCATGTGAATATTATAAATTTATTTAGGCTCCTAATTTAAGAACAGTGGTAAGACAGCGTGGCAGTCTGCTTCCCCATGGCAGGAGGGAGGACCTCTCACCCATGGCTTGAGTTTTTAGGATCTTTATTACCTAGAATACAGTATGAAGAAGTAGGCATCCAGATGCCTGCTAATCACAAGATAGAGAGAGCTATACTGATAGTGCAGTATATACAATAACAAAAACAAATATTAGCAAATAAAAGCCTCTAAACCTATCCCCATCATTTTTATAAAAGTAATAGTACTGATTCTACCAATTGTAAATGAAAAAAAAAAAAACCACTACCTAACAATGCCCTTTACTGCACATTCATGTTTATTTTCCTTTTATGACTAGATGTTCTTTTTCTCACTACTGACAACATTGGTCCTGAAAGAGGCCTATACCTAAATAGAAGATTCAGGAAAGAAATTCTTGGACAGAAAATAAAACAACAGTCTGTTGACTCTTTTATTCTACATGGCTGTATAGAAGTGCTCCTCTTGTGATGGTTCAACATGTTTTGGATCCCCTCACTATGGGCCTGGATCTGTGAGGGATGTACTGAAGTAGAAGACATGGGTTTTCTTTTGCAGAAATGTATACTGTACTTGAGGGGAGTAGCTCCATATTGAACAGTGCAATCAGCTTTTCTGAATAATTTCTAAACTATCTCTGGATGATGGAATCTGTGTGGCATTAGGATTGACAATGAATACAGTTATTTGATTTTCAACAAAAGTACCAAAATACAAGTAGGAAATGAAAGTTAGTTCAACAAATGGTACTGAAATAACTGAAAAACACCCAACTTTCACCTCTATTGTATACTACACACAATAATTAATCTGATATGCATCATACACCTAAATGTAAAAGCTGAGACTATACAGGTTCTAGAACAAACAGAAGAATATTTTTGCAACTAATAAGTGAGTTTATTGTGACTCAGGAAGTAATTATCATAAAGTTTTAGTTTGATAAATTACTCTATCAAAATTTAAACTGTTGTGCATCAAGGATGTTAAGAAAATAAGTAGGCAAGACACAGAGTGAGAGAAAATACTTGCAAAACATGCATCTGAAAAAGGACTAGGATCTAGGACATATGAAGAACTACAATTCAATAATAAAATCAAAACAATGAGCAAAAGAATTGAAAAACTTCACAAGTATATAAATACACATAGCCACTTAGTTCATGCAAAAAAAGCTCCTTAATATCATGAGTTATTATGGAAATGCAAAAAACATAAAAACAAGGTAAGTCACTACTACACACACACACGTGCGCACACACACACACACACACCAGAATGGCTAAAATTAGACACAAAGTATCAAAGGTTGGCTAAAATGTGAAACCACTAGAACTCTTGTCCCACTTAAGAGATGTAAGTGCAATCACTTTGGGAAAAAGTTCAACTATTTCTTATAAGACTAAACATACTTGGGCCAGGGATTTAGCTCAGTGGTTCCGCCGCCTGCCTTGCAAGCAGAAGGACCCAAGTTCAATCCCCGATACCAAAAAAAAAAAAAGACTAAACATACTCAATTAAATTATCCTACAACCCAGTAAATCCATGCCTAGATATTTACCTAAAAGAAATGAAAATATGTGTCCATAAAATATTTGTTCAACAATGTTCATAGCAACTTTATTTACCATCACCCCAAATAGCCAATAATTCAAGTGTATATCAACACGAGAATGAATAAGTGGTGATGTATTTGTACATAAAATACTACTCAGGAAAACAAGGAATACAGTAGTGATAAATGAAACATGTATGAATCTGAACATTTTCTGTGCTGAGTTATAGAAGCCTTACAAAGGAGAATAGAATGTATATGACTCCATTTACATGAAGTTGTAGAAAAGGCAAAAACCTGTCTCCAAAGGATGGTAATTGCCCTACAACCTTGACAGGGTTTGATCAGGAGTGGAGATGAAGGAATTTTATCAGATGGGAATAATGTTTCATATTTTTATAGGGGTTTGGGTTACACAAGATTTTAGGGAATTGTATGCAAATTTTGCCTCAAAAAGAAAGAGGAACCATAAATAAATAACGATATGCATATTGACATGTTTGGGGAAATGTATTGATTTCTACAACTTTGAAATACACCAAAAAGTAGCATGGATAGTGCTTGCTTTGGCAACACATATAATTAAAATTAGAACAAAAGCAGAGAAGATTAGCATGGTCCCTGGGTAAGGATGACATACAAATTTGTAAAGTTTTTCATGTCTTTAATAAAAGAAAGATGATAGGATACAGGAATGTAGACTTTGTGGAGATGGGAAGAGACCCTGGGGATGGGAGGAGAGGCCAAAACAGGGAGAAGAAGGGGAAGTAAAAATGATTAAGATGTAATATGTATATTACCAATTCCCCAAGGTGAATGTAATTGGTATGCATTACAAATTTATACCTATAAATTTTAAAAGTAAGGTAGATAAATCGATGGAGGATAGATAAGTGATAAAAATGTATAGTGAGATGCAAATTGTAGAATTTAGATGATGGGGCTTTGACTGTATAATTCTCTCAAATTTTTGTATGTTTGAAAGTTTTTATAATAACATAATGGGATGGGGGAAGGGTCTGCCTCTTACTTATGCCACAGGTCATTAATCTCTTGGACAAGTCACTTTTTCCTATTTTCCTCTGAAAGCTAGAAGGCTGAACCCAGACTAGATATTGTGCAGGTGGAATTGAACTCAGAAAGCACCTGAGCCCAGGATCCAGTAGTTCAAGCTGATTGTTTGCTCCTCTGCAAACATTCTGTGTAATCATTAAGATTATTTTAAAACTTGAAATCAGGAAATAGCCAATTTTCATAAAGAAAATAAGATATTTTTATCCAAATATGCTTCATCCAACACACGAGCAGAAATCCTACCAGGCCTCACTTACACCTAAACTGGGAACCAGAAGGCTGCTGAGAAACCAGGAGCTCTTCCTGCCTCTTGCTATTGCTTCTAACCTGCCTGACACCTTTGTTCTTTTCTCAGCAGCCATCTTTCTTTTCTGTGCTCTCTTAACCAGACCATCTGGCCAGTGGAAAATAGCAGCCAATGGCTTTCAAGTTCACCTGTTACAGTTCAGCCACCCCTTCAAGTCTGTCTTTCTCAGTCTCAATCCCAAATTCCAAAGCAGATTTAATTTACCCAACTTGGTCTAACCCAAAACAGCTAGAGGGCAAAGCCACGTGTACAAATGGAGCTACCAACAATGTACCTCTATGGGCATCTAGGAATGGAAGCAGTTTTTTTAAGCTTTCCAGGCATCTCCAAAGATGTATGCATTTGTCTGGATCATCACAAGCAAGGGAATCTGTTTCTAACTAGAATAATCATGAGCCCAATTAGGTCATCCACAGAGTAGCATCCCAGTATGGCATTATGGAAGGAAATCTTCTCTGCTTTGTTTGGGGGTACTTTCTTTTAACTGGGAATGGAATGCTGCCTAAATTGAGGGCTGGAATGAGTGACAATAAAGGGAAACAGCTTTTTAACAAACAGTATTATCACACACACACCCTCCTTGTAATTAGTGCATGCAATAATAATAGAGTAAGGGGTTTTCCTGTGCTATTTTCATAAATGTATATAATAAACCTTCATCATATTGAAGGGAAACAACTTTATATTAATCCCCAAATACCACGGTCCTCCAAAGGATGTCCTGATGCTGGATACAATAGTTAACACTGTTTTTGGTTCCCTAAGAGTTACTCGGGGTGGGGGGATTTTTAGAAATGCAGCTTCCCCTCCCCTGTCCCAGGCGTTCTGTTTGAGCAGAACTGATATCAGGCCCAGGAAGCTGTCTTTGTCACAAGAATCCTGAGACAACAGGTTTTATGGCACATGGTCCATGGGCAGCTGTGTCAGGAGTCATAACCCTGGTTGTCCAGTTACATCACAAAGAGATGCCCAGTCCCAAGTTGCCTTTGGGATTTAGGTATGTACTAGGTGATGAGAGTAGGGCAATGGAAGAGCAGAAATTTGGGACATTGTGAGAAAATTCCACACTTCCCAGGTGTCTGCCAACAATGGGAGCTGAGATATGTCCCAGGATCCAGCTCCTCTGAACAGTGGCTGGAATGTCCTGAATCTCCATGTCTTTATGATCCTTTATTTTATTCTTTAACTTTTAGGATGGAAAGAGATGCTGCATTTACACAAAAAAAGGCAGAGAGGGCATGCCTCAGAGTCCACCTCAGGGAGAAGTACAGGCTCCCCAAGGTAAGACATTCTGAACATAGAGATGTCTCATCATTTCCTAATTAACAAAACACAGGGAATGTTTAAATATCATCAAAGGCTCATGCATGTGAATATATATATATTTTACATATTTGATATGGTGAAAAGAGCATTCAACTGGGAGTTCATAAAAGCTAGACTCCAGTTACTCAACCTCTATAATTCCATTTCCATTGAAAACATGAAATCAGGGCCAGGGATTTAGCTCAGTGGTTTCACTGCCTGCTGAGCAAGTGCAAGGTCCCGAGTTTGATCCCCGGTACCAAAAAAAAAAAGAAAAGAAAAAGAAAAGAAACCATGAAATTATACCTATGGATGACATTTTTATGTAAATATATCTAAAGAATACATAAATACACAACAGGGATAATCGTGATAGCTGACATTTGTTGAGCTCTTTCTAGGTAACAAGTACTGTACTTTGCATAGATTAATTCATTTAGGTCCTATTATCACCTCTATGTTATAGCAGAGAAAACAGAGCCAAGTAAATAGCTTCCTACCATAAATCTCACAGCCAAAAAGGCAGAGCCCAGGGTCTTAATTTCCAAGATATTCTGTCTCTATTTAAAAGAGACAATCAATTGCTTATTTTGGGAGATGTCATAGTAGTGATGATTGTCACCCAGTACCATCATATCCATGTCAGGGCTGGCTGACAGGATGACCATCTATAAGCTGTGGCCTTGTAGCTAGCTTGCCACTGGGAAGAGGATGCATGGACATAGCCCAGATGTACTCTTCAAGGTCTCATATCCAGCACAACAGAAAGCCAAGCACTTTGCTACTCTGGCTCATTTCTTCTGTTCTCATTCCCAGTCATCACCTAAGGGGCCAGGCAGCTCCTCTAAATGCTTCCTCCTTCACCTGCTGGGGTAGGTGTTTGACTTCAAATTAAGGTGCAAGCTGGGGGGGCGTGGCGCACACCTGTAATCCCAGCACTCGGGAGGCTGAGGCAGGAGGATCACCTCAAGTTCCAGGGGTGCATAGTGAGTTCAAGGACAGCCTGAACTACACATCAAGACCCTGTCTCAAAACAAAATCATATTCTAAGGTGCACCTTCCTTTAGAGAGCATCTTCCATCTGGATAAGCCAAAGGAAAAAAAAAAGTTTCCTCCAAAGTGCAGTATCCTCTCCCAAGAATGAGAGCCACTTCCAAGTCTGGGTGGTTTAGAGTGTCATGAAGTCAATTCCTTCACTGGGACCCCTGCAGATCCTTGGAAAAGCTGCCTTAAGAAGCAACAATCACTAAACAAACAGAGAACCCACTGTCTGTCCATGAGAGGTCACTGGTAAAATCAATAAAGATCCCCATCCTGCGGGAGAGGTTGACTCCCAAGACAAACATGGAACACAGAGCTCTCAGTGAGAAGAGGAAAATTTACAATAAAATGTAAAATCATTTTCATGTGCAACCAATGAAATGAATTGGGAAGAATGCCTTGCCCCCCTCCCCATTGACCTTTATTACTTTTGTCCACTATGCTTGCATTTTGCAAGAGGGATGCTCTTCATTCTAATTGTCTAGTGCATTTCTGAAACTCTTTGAGATGTTACTGTCTGGCTGGCAATGTGACCTACTCTAGGCAAGGAGCCTGAGTTAGATTCCCTGGCCTCCCCACTTGGCACCATCTGATATAAGCACCAAAATCTTATTTAGGGTGAAGCAAAAGTCAAACACACACATACACACACACAATCTTCCACAAAAGTTGGGCTTTTTGAGGCTTTTCTTGACAATTACTCTGTTACCTGTCTATTGGGATCTAAGGAGAATTGTGTTTCAATTCTGGTTCTGCCACTCTGACACAGTACAACTTCAGCTGACTTTTAAGAAACCATCATATGAGCTCAGTCTCCTCATCTACAAAATGAGAGCAATGACACCTAACCTCATAGGGTAAAGCCTTGTCTGAAATGACACAAAGGGCCTCGTGCAGCACCTGACAAGTGGTAGGTGGTCAATGATAGCTCTGATGTTGCTGATCTGATCTAATTTCTTTTTTTTTTTTGCACTTTATTAAATTCTTTTATTGGTACATTGTAGGTATACAACACAATTACATTTCTCATTGGGAATTGTACCTTTGCAT